TAGGTGTACGTGGCTGGCGCCTTAGCCGGTTGAGCTATAGGCGCCGAGCCAACACCCAGCTATTTTTAGAGATGAGGTCTCACTCTGACTCAGGCTGGTCTTGAACTCGTGAGCTCAGGTAATCCACTTGACTTGGCCTCCCAGAGTGCTAAGATTACAGTCATGAGCTACCTAGCCAATCCTGTTTCTTGATTTTAAAGCTGAAAGTGTTACATCCCAGGAATCCCCTGTCTCTGGCAAATCAGGACTGTTGGTCACTCTTCCCTGAGACAGGAAGCTGTGCTCAGTGCCCCTTCCCCACTGTCCACTTGAACCCACTGCATTCAGCCCATTGACCCTTTCCTGACCAACCCTCCCATCCCCCATCCTCAGCACCCAGGCACTCTCCACAAACCTGGATCAGTAGTGACCTCAATGTTGCTGGATCCCATGGGCAGTTCTCAGGCCTCATTCGTTAGCTACCTCTGATACAGGTGGTCATGCCCTGCTCCCTCAAACCCCTTAACATGTGGCTTCCAGAATGGCTGTTCTAGCTTCCCTCCCGCCTCAGCATCCTTGTGGGTTCCCCATTTGTCTCACTCCTGTTGAAGGGAACCATTGCTGAAAAGGTGACATTTGAGCAGAAACCTGAAGGAGGTGAGGGTGCTAGCTGTGGGGGAGGAGTTTCCGACAGTGCAAAGGCTCCCAAGTGGGTGGGTACCTAGCAGGTTGGAGGAGAAGCAAGGAGGTCCCTGTGGCTGGAGCAAGGTGAGTGGGCAGAGGCAACGGGGTCAAATCCTGTGGGGGCCTCATGAGCCATGGTAGGAATGTTGGCTTTCTCTGAGTGAGGTAAGGAAAGGTTAGTGGCTGAGTGCAGTTAGCTAATCTGTTCCTGTCTCCTCTCTGGGGGTTACAGTTTCTGCCTGTCACATTTGAACTTTAGATTTGGTGCAGGTCACTTAGCTGCCTTGGTCTCATTTCTAAAATGGGTGTAGAAGTACTTACTTTGATCATAGGGTTCACACAGAAAAGTGGCTAGTGTATTGGTGGATGCTGAAATGTTAGTTGCTATTCCTGTAGACATCACTGATAATAACATTGTGGGGCCAGGTGTGGTGGCTTATGCCTGTAATCCTAGTACTCTAGGAGGCCGAGGCAGGTGAATAGCCAGAGCTTACAAGTTCAAGACCAGCCTGAGCCAGAGTGAGACCCCATCTTAAAAATAGCTGGACGTTGTGGCAGGCACCTATAGTCCCAGCTACTCGGGAGACTGAGACAAGAGAATCATTTGAGCCCAAGCGTTTGAGGTTGCTGTGAACTGTGATGCCAAGAAACTCTATGAAGGGTGACAGAGTGAGACTCTGTCTCTAAATAAATAACATTATGAACATCAACATTCCTGTCACAGCAAGCCCTGGATGAAAACATGGACCTCTTAGAAGGCATAACTGGCTTTGAAGACTCTGTTCGAAAATGTAAGTCCCTCTCTGTACCTGGACTCCCAGGGGAAGGAGTAAAGTGGCAGGAGGGTCCTGAGGGAAAGCCCCTCACCATCTTTTGTGTCTCTGACCTCCACAGTTATCTGCCATGTCGTGGGTATCACCTACCAGCACATCGACCGCTGGCTACTGGCTGAAATGCTTGGGGATCTGTCAGGTAAGGGCCTCTGGATCCTAGTGCAGATCTGGGTGGTTCAAGAGTGATCTAGAGCAGTGGACCTTAGCCAGCTTCACAGATGGACCCATCTTGGTCTCACCAGGCTGTTATTATTGAAGGCCCAGCCCAGGGAATAAATAAGACCTTGGTATAACATGTTCCCTTGCCAGGCATAGTGGCTCACACCTGTAACCTTAGCACTCTGGGAGGCTGAGGCAGGTAGATTGCTTGAGGTCAGGAGTTCTAGACCAGCCTGAGCAAAAGCGAGACCTCATCTCTACTAAAAACAGAAAAAACAGCTGGGAGGTCAGGCTCGGTGGCTCACACCTATAATACTAGCATTCTGGGAGGCCGAGGTGGGTGGATTGCCAGAGCTCACAGGTTTGAGACAAGCCTGAGCAAGAGTGAGACTCCACCTCTAAAAAAAGCTGGGCATTTTTTCACATACCTGTAGTCCCAGCTACTCAGGAGGCTGAGGCCAGAGAATCACTTGAGCCCAAGAGTTTGAGGTTGCTGTGAGCTATGACACCATGGCACTCTACCAAGAGCCACAAAGTGAAAGTCTGTCTCAAAAAAAATAAATAAAAAGGGCAGCACCTGTGGCTCAGTGGGTAGGGTGCCAGCCCCATATACCAAGGGTGATGGGTTCAAACCCGGACCCAGCCAGCTAAAACAGCAGTGGCAACTGCAACAAAAAAAAAAAATAGCCAGGTGTGTGGCAGGTGCCCCTAATCACAGCTATTTGAGAGGCTGAGGCAAGAGAATCGCTTAAGCCCAAGAGTTAGAGATTGCTGTGAGCTGTGACGCCATGGCACTCTACCGAGGGTGACAAAGTGAGATTCTGTCTCAAAGGAAAAAAGAACCAAGCTTTGCCCTGGAGGAGAACAGAGAAGAATACATACATGAAGTAAGTTAAGGTGAAAGCCCTATAAAACTAAGGATAAAGCTGAAAGCCTCCTTCTGGTGACCAATCAGAGAGTGACCTGGGGTGAGGATCTGCTGCTGTTTCCAGGCCAGAGATGCCAATGGGGCAGTCACACAAGAGGGCTGGCCTAGCTTGGCAAGCCCTGATTCCCTTGCCTGCCAGTCTCCTGGCATGTGGGATTGGGTTGACTGAAGCCTGTTGCTGCCTGTGTCCTCTGCAGACAACCAGCTGAAGGTGTGGATGAGCAAATACGGCTGGAGCGCTGACGAATCAGGGCAGATCTTTATTTGTAGCCAGGAAGAGAGTATTAAGCCCAAGAATATTGTGGAGAAGATCGACTTTGATAGTGAGTGGTGGCCTGAGGCCTTAGGCTCTTGGGCTAAGGGGGTACCTTTCAGTGGGGACCAGACCTGGGGCCCAGAGGACTCAGGTATATCATTTTTTGTTCAGGGCTAGGAAATTTATATGTCAGACTCCACTGAGGGACTGCCTGGCCAGGGAGGAGTGGTGGGGGTGCAGAATTCCTGGAACTGCCAGGCCCTATGACCTGCCCCATAGCATTCAACAGGACTTCCTGGGGCCTACGGGTCCTTACAGGGTTTTTGACATTTTTGGTCCTAGGAATTCATTGCATTGGCCCTCCTTCATCCTTGGGACCCACGGGCCTAATGCACAGAGTCAGGGGCCAGGTTAATTGGGTGGGAGTCTTAATTCTTCACTTGGGGTGATTTCACCTTTTTGTGCCTCAGTTTTCTCATTTAAAAGATGGGGATGACAGCAATGATACCCGATAATTATGATAAACACTGTAGGTTCTGGCTTGGCACCTATAGTTTAGCCACTAGGGCACTGGCCACATACACTAGAGCTGGCAGGTTCAAACCCATCCCTGGCCTGCCAAACAATACCAACTACAAGAACAACAACAAAAAAATAGCCAGGCGTTGTGGCAGGTGCCTGTAGTCCCAGCTACTTGGGAGGCTG